GAGGTACTTTTGTGGTCCCCGTTACCATGGTATCTAAGTGTCTCAGTCTTTAATGTATTTCTTCTTGCAGCACCCTCGTGTGGCAGGGCAGTGCTATTCTCCCCATTTTACAGATGGGGAATGGATGTCCAGAGATACTAAGGGTCTGCTTTTTAACAGTATATCGGAGCCTAAAGACACGGGTCAGCATCCAGGTACCTAACTCCAATGTGAGTTAGGGCCAGATTATTAAAGGTATTTAGAAGTCCTTCAGGAACCTAAGTGACTCACCCAAGATCACACCGGGAGTTTGTAGCAGAGTAGGGAACTGAACCTGGGTTTCTTAAATCCAGCTACTGCCCTACCCACTGGACCATCCTGCCTCTCAAAGTCAACAGGGAGTCTTCCCCTCAACTTCAGTGGGCTTTGGATCAGGTCTTTAAGTATGTGTTTATTGCAGAGGAGAAGAGACTGTTTTCTGCTGAAATGTCCTAGATGTCTCTCTTGGGGTGGGGGGGGAGGTAACTGCTGACTGACTTGTACAAGAGCGAGAGGGAAGCTACCTCTGTAGCAAAGACAACAGGTGCTGAGGGAGGTTCGTTCCCAAGGGTATCAGGATGCCGACATTGTCTTAGAAAGGCACAGTAAGTGCTGTGCTCATGGAGACCTTCTGCTTAATCCCAGCACCGTCCTGCCTCCCAAGGGCTTGTGAAGATAGGAATGTAACAGATTGTGAGGCGCTCCAATGTGTGATGGTAATGAGGAGCATACAAATACCATTAGGTAGATCTAAGCCAGAATTATGTCTCTGCCAGCGGTCGGCTTCAGAGGAAGGTGCAAGAAACCCAACCGTAGGCAGATTTGGGATAATCTGCCCCCTAATCCATAGTAGCTAGAGATTGGTCTAAACCCTGTAGCATGAGGTCCTTTCCCTTGCTTTTTTCGTAATATTTACTATGATAACTCTGGCTAGTCTTAACTTTTAAATGTCCAGTCCTTCTTTGAACGTTGCTAAATTCCCAGCCTCGGTGACATAATGTGGCAAGGAGTTCCCCAGTCTAAATATATCTTGTGTGGGAGGAAAAAAAATATTTTCTTTGAATGGTTTTTAATGTGTGGCCCTTTGTCACCATTTCCAGCAGGTGAGAACAGGACCCTAAATGGAATAGACAAGAAGAGCAACAGCTGCTACTGCACTATGGCAAAGGTAAAGGCTTTCCTTTGGTGCCTTTGGTTTTCACTAGCCCTGTTTCATCTACTCTGAGATCTCTGTGGGAAATGCAGGGGAGGCTTGCAACCGTTGCGAGGAGAATGTCAGGACAGGAAGAATGTGTCACAGATTGTTGGGTAGCCTCAAAGCCTGGTAACTATGCCTTGCCTTGGATCTGTGACCAAAACTAACCAAAACTGGGATCTCAAGACTTGAGCTGCTCTATCAGTTCAGCTGCATAATGGAAATTCTAACTACTGGAGGAGAGGGCGGCTGTGCTATTTGGGGGCAGGCGTGTTTGGGCCGAGCCTGATATCCAGACACCTATCGATTTTAGGGGTTCCTTTAGCTGAATTTGCTCTACACACCATTAGTCATTTTTTTAAGGCTTGTGTTTGTTCATTCATGTTTGTTTCACATCCATCAGCTTTTGGTTGAAGTTTCAGTTGCCCAGAAGGGGCCTGGATTGCTGGGCTCAGCTGCTGAGATCACCTCCTCTGTCAGACAAGCTGCCTGAGAACACTGTGTTTTCTCTCAGTTAGAGGTAAGAGCAACTTGAAGGAGAGTTTCAGCTGGTGTTTATAGCCTTTTCACACCTCCTGTGGTCATTAGAGGAGGAGGCAGTGTGTCATAGTAGTTACAGCAAGGGACAGCGGGTTAGTAACATCAAAAATCCAGGGCTCTGTTCCTGATTCTGCCACCGAATGATCTTGGGACAGTCCTTTAACTGCTCTGTGCCTCAGTTTCCCTACATATCATACTATAATAATAAGACTGTCCCTAAGTAGATACCTCTATGGGTCCTGTCACTGTAGCATCTGAATTATACTTGTCCACCTTTGTGCTTTGATGTTCTGGGTTGGAAGATGCCATGGAAGTGTGTAGAGTTATTAGTGTCCTATTACCTTAAACATCCCACAATAGGTGTGGTCAGAGCAGGGGTGTTAACCCCAGTGTCCTGGCTAAATTCTTAAATTAGGTAATTTTATTCTGCCTACAGGTATTAAACACTCCTTATAGCTTGAACTGGATGCAATATTCTTCCTCTCTTATGGTGCTGTGTAACATTGTGTTCAGTTTAAAAACTGCTGCATTTCACTTCAGAGGTGGCTGCATCTCAGTGGCGCACGTGTTTGAAGCAATATTTTTTAAAGAGCAGTTCTACTCTGATTGTGTAAGAATGGCACATTCTCATCAGCTGTCCCCTCTGTACATTTCGGATTCTTACTTGCTCACTTTAGTACCCAGCGTTTGGCCCATACAATTTTTGTTACTGATGATTTTGCACAAGCCAGAAAAGAAACAGCTTGACTTTCAAATCTCAGGATGCGTGTGCATCTTTGGCCGTGAGGGGAAAAAAGCAGCCAACATTTGACTGGTATACTGAGCAAATCCACACCAAAAATCACTAAGGCTCAATAAACATGGAACACTAAGGTGTCACTTTCCAGAGCGGAACCAAACTTGGAATCTGAAGGCTAGCGAGAGGAACAACTGCATTGAAGATAAGAGCTGAAGGAAACACAAGTCACAGTCAGAGATTATAAACTCTTTGGTGCACAGACCGTCTTTTTGTTTTAAAGTTGAGCACGTGCTTTGCTCAACTGGAGCCTAGTATTGGACTTTACAAACAGATGGTTTTGCAGCTCCCATTGATTTGGTCTCCCACAGGGTCTTACCCATTAACTGAGCAGTGGTTCATCAACAAAGGACCTTAAGACCAAGGGAAAGTCCTTCATTCTTGCTAGGCAAAACTCCCCAGCGACTTCCGTGGGAGTTTTGCTTAAGTAAAGACCATAGGATTTGACTCAGATTATCAGACACATTTGTTTCACACTCACTCATCTCTTAAGATTTGTGGCTTTTCCTCTTCCCCTGATGGAGCTGGGTTAGTCAAGGTGCAGAAGGGCTATTTGTTTAAGCTTTGCAGTAAATTTCATTGTGTAACTCTTACGCCTTTGCCTTCTGTATAATACCCCTTTATAAGGGCTCTCTGGTGTGCAGAGATCAGCAGCTGCAGAGCATGCAGTTCAGTGCAGATTGTTTCAGAAGACACACACTGTGCCCACTCTTGGAGACTTTACTTTTGTTCTTTCTTGCTTAGTTGTTCCCTTAAATCTGAAATAAAAGCTCTTCCTGGCTGAAAGTACCTGTTTACACATTGTGTATGGGAAACGCAACAGATGTAATCAGCTCTGATATATCGGAGGAAAGAGGAATCTTTATTATTACAGGCGAGTCTCACCTTATGCGGGGGTTCCATTCCGCGGTTAGCGCATAAAGCGAAAACCGCGTATAGTCAAAATTACATTGAGTTGAACGGCAGGCGGACTCACCCGCACTACAGGTACAGTATTAAAATTGTTATATTTCTCTTTTTTTTCCGTTTTCTTGGTTTTTGCCGACCGCGTAAAGCTGAAATTGCGCATGTTAAATGCACGTAAGATGCGACAGACCTGTATTTTATAATACAGCACCATAGCTATGCATAGAACAAACAAAAAACATAGCCTCTACCCCAGGTCCTTACAATCAGAGAGGAGTAGGGCACCTGACCTCATTCCAAAGGCCACCCCAGGGGTCCTTTGCTGGACTCTGAACCCCATCCCAGGGGTTGCACAGATAGTTGGATAAAACGCAGTGTGATACAGTGAGAAGGGAGGGCAGGCAAGGTTGGGTAGGAATGGGAGGGAGATGTGCACAGGCTATTAGAACAGGAGTACTTGTGGCACCTTAGAGACTAACACATTTATTTGAGCATAAGCTTTCGTGGGCTACAGCACACTTTATCGTGTGCATGTAGTGGAAAATACAGGAGAAAGATATATATATATATATATATATATATATATATATATA